CGGTGGTCTGCAAATAATCGAGTCTGGACCAGACAATCCAGTGATTAACATCACAGCATCGATCTGTGCAGTAGGCATACGATGACATGCATCATCCAAGACAGCCAGTCTGACCACCCAATCCTGTTGGTTGCCGAAGGCCAATTCTAACCAGGATCTTCACAGGAGCACTGCTCTTTGAAGGTGAGACCATCTCCGTGGTCTTATGGTAGGGCGTCCGCTTGGAAAGTGGAAGGTCTAGGGTTCAATTCCCGACTGTGTCACTTAAAAGATGCTACTTGTTGTTACCCTGCCTGGTGCTCGGCACGAGGGGCTAAAACAAGGACCGGTCGGCTCGGAGTCAGTATACTGTGTCTGAGTGGGGTATTCGTGTTAAGCTGCGGCATGGTATCTCAGTGGGCTAGCACTACTAAATCGGCATCAGTCCGGACTAGTACAAGCAGCCACACACACACACACACACACACATATAAAAGTGCAATAACCTTGGATGGGACGTTAAACCCTATTTCACCTCACCTCACTACTTTGAACTAAACTGAAGATGAGAATCAAGTCTGAGATTGATGTTAATTTTAACCACACCCCATTTTGTATATTCATTGAAATAGTTGAGTGAAGTAATTAGCTTTTTTGTGTTATCAATATCTGCATGAAATGCTGATGAGGGGGCACTGACTATGCACGTGAGGGAGAATTATAATCTGTTCCTGTTTATGTTCAGTAAATCATTTATTCTCAACACGTGGGGTCCATTTAATATTCAGGTGGACCCTGAACCCCAATTTAATCGCTCAGAACTCACTACACTTGTAAACTCATTTCAACCCTGCAAAACAGCTGTGACTGAATTTATTTTGCCAGTTTTACTGTTTTTAGCTCACCTGACTGAATGTCATATGTTGTTCAAATCTGTATGTGTTAGTTATTAGTCCTCAGTAATTATGAAAAAAGAAATTGAGTACCGTATTTTCTTGGGTATAGTGCGCACCCATGTATAATGCGCACCCCCCTTTAGCGGGTTCAATATTTTGGAAAAAAAGAAATTTGAATATTATGCGCAGAAAAAAATTACACCGTACCCTTTCAGCGAAGTCCGCCAAACGAACGGGTGATGAGAAACTTTGTCAGTACAAATTCGAAATTTGAGATAAAAAATCACCAGACATGTTTATTTACCGTTTAAATAGTATTTATTGTTCTGCTAGGCATTGTTTTATATCTAGGGATTAAGATTACCTTGTGTATTTTCTCGTAAACTAAGCCGGAAACAGCAATCAGCTGTACACACGTTTTCTTGGAATCGACCGGTGATTCGGTCAAGACACACCCAATGATATAACTTTATAGGATTTTTAATGCAAGGATCGGCATCAATTGTATCTGAAACTATTTCTTTTATCAGGAATAATATATTCCATTATTTTCTTTATTATATGTAGCCTTTACTAAACATATTTAAAATAATAATAACCCTAAGCGAAGCAGCTGATCGCTATTCCCGGGTATTATTTTTTACATGGAACCAGTCTGACCAGTCACCGTCAAGGCTCACGCGCACGTGATCGCGTGATCGCGAGAATTTCCTGTTGACATAGAATCGTCAAACAAAAACAAATATGACTTTTAACGAGTCAAAGTATGTCATTTATGATATATGTATCCATTCTCTGTCAACTAAAGTTCGTTTCAAGGCGTCAATAGCGGTATTCTGACCGTGGTTGCTGTTAATAACGGTGAGTTGTGCGATCTTCCAATCGCTTCACACACGATTTCGCCGAAATTAATAAAAACAAAATTAAGAGGAATTTTGAATAAAATTAATGAAATAAGTTACAAACATAAGTCCAGATATACAAAGAACACTTTTTATAGCCAGACAGTGTAATTACATGATTATTTTGCGTACTTCAGTATGGATTTGTTGACATGGTATTTCCGGTGTTTCGTGCTCACGGTAATATCTTTCCATGGGGGAAAAAAACATCCAAACTCATAATTCGTGTATAATGTGCACCCCCTTCTACACAGCTGTGTTTTTTCAAAAAAAAGTGCGCACTATACTCAAGAAAATACGGTATCAAATGCTGACAACAACTTTTAAACTGTTGGCTTCATATCCAGGTGAGCTACAGTGCAAGGCCACCATCTTTTACCTTCTATTTATATATGCTCCCCAAAACAGCATGTCTATCTGTCCATCAGTAATCATTTAATGGTCTAGATGAAAACAAAAACAAAAATTCCCTATCCAACTTCATATCTCAGGGTCATGTTGCCCCAAACTGGGATATGATAAACGATTTAATGTTTTCACTCTGGCTCTGTTGCAGCAAGCACCTGCCCCACAATGCACCCCATTGCACCTATTGTACCAGCCAAACATAAGCATGCTTATTATTTCTAACTAAACAAGAGTATTCCTATTACATCAGCCTAAACTGAAGGTGGCTCTTTGCTTTTAGATGCTTCCCACTGTTCTTTTGAAGATGTGAATCAAGGCTGAAGCTGATGCTATATTACAACTTACGCTGTTAATTTTAAGAGCATCCCATTTAGTAAAAACCCCAAACCTAATGAGCTTTTTGTGTTATCTGTATCTATATGAAATGCTGATGAGTTTGCACTGATTACGGCATCAGGGAACATAATTTCAATCTGTTTCCATTTATGTTCAGTAGTACATGTATTCCAACACGTAGGGTCTGACCATTTCAATTCTGGAAAGAGAGAGAGGCTTGATATTTTTAGAAATGAATTTGATGCAGAAAGAATTGGGGGAAAAAGTAATTTTACACGTATTCACATGCAAAATATAATTATTTGCTGGACCTCCTAGATGTCCTGAAAAACATTCTGTTGAAACAAGGTCCGTCTTGAAGGAGTGACAGAAAAAGGAAGTCTGTCTTGAGCAAGGCTTCCCCCTCCACATCCCCTCCACACCCACATCACCATCCTCCACACCGCCTCCACGCCCACATCACACCCAACCACACACACCTCCACACCCCCACCACACCCTCACCACACCCACTCCACACCCACTCCACACCCGCACCACATCCCCACCCACCTTCTGGCCCTCACAGCATTAGGGATTGGCACCAGTCCTCAAGTCCCTGCCCAACTGGCCAATAGTTAAGGTATCATAAGGAATTAGCCCTTCTTTAATTGTTTTGCTATATGTTATCATTTATAATAAGGACTACTGGCCAAAAAATGTTTCTATCGCTGCATCACCAGATATATACTGCTTAAAAACTGTTAAGGACAACCCGATTCTTTCATATTGCTTGTTAATCTGTCATGCCATCTGGGCCCCGTTCCTCAAAGCAATCTTAGCACTAAGGCGATCGTAAGTCCCATACTTTAACATAGGCTTACGATCATCGTAGTGCTAAGATCGCTCTTAGGTATGGGGCTCTGGTCCTTAACTTCTGTTTAGTAGTATTCTTTATTCACTTCACTTGGCATAAGAGCTGACTGAAGTGTTCACTGGCTGGTCTGTGTGTCATCTTCATTGTACATTTTTTCTGCGGACAAATGGCCATAGGATACCTTCATTTTTTTGTCAATGGAAATTATTCTATTATCTTATGTAAATGTTTAAACCACATTAATTTGAACAGTATAGTTGAATGGTGTTTATTTTGAGGAGAAGTTCAACAGAAGGTCTAAGTATTATATGACTTTTATTATGACCATTTGTTCCTGTTGAGGGGAAAGTAGCTGAATGTTCCAAATATACTGGATGGGGTTGCAGAAGGTCAGAGATGTGAACATCTGTTGGATCGTTCCAGAGGTGAAGCTTGTGTACATAAACAGAGGGACTTGGGCAGCCTGGGAAGACTCTTTCATTTCACATTCAAGACTTTCTTCTGTCTAAATCTGATACACTCTTAGCAGGACAGGACTGTTTTACAGTGTCGCAGAGCCAATAGGGAACCTTGCATGACCATACCCTGCCCTAATCATTGCTCATCATTGCTCACAGTGCAGCCCCTAGTTTGTGGGGTCGAGGACCATTATATCATGTCATACACTTGTAATCTTGAGTTACATGCTTGCGATCAAGGCATTACCTGTGATCAAGTAGTGTGACACACCTGTGATCAAGTAGTGTGACACACCTGTGATCAAGTAGTGTGACACACCTGTGATCAAGTAGTGTGACACACCTGTAATCAAGTAGTGTGAAACACCTGTGATCAGGTTGTATGACACACCTGTAATCAAGTAGTGTGACACACCTGTAATCAAGTAGTGTGAAACACCTGTGATCAGGTTGTATGACACACCTGTAATCAAGTAGTGTGACACACCTGTGATCAAGTAGCATGGCACCTGTTATCAAGTAGTGTGACACCACCTGTGATCAGGGATCAGGTGGTCAGGCTCACTGACTTAGTTGATGCATGTCATCGATCTCAATTGCGTGATCAATCACTGGATTATCTGTTCCAGACTCGATTATTTTAAAGCTGGAATGCGGCGTTAAACAACAAACGATCAAACAAACGAAACCTGTGATCAAGTAGTGTGACACCTGTAATCAAGTAGTGTGACACACCTGTAATCAAGTTGTATGACACACCTGTGATCACGTAGCATGACACCTGTTATCAAGTAGTGACTCAACTGCAATCAAGTTGTATGACACACCTGTAATCAAATAGTGTGACACACCTGTAATCAAGCAGTGTGACACACCTGTAATCAAGTTGTATGACACACCTGTAATCAATTTGTAAGGCACACCTGTAATCAAATATTGAACACACCTGTAATCAAGCAGTGTGACACCTGTTATCAAGTAGTGACACACCTGTGATCAAGTTGTATGACACACCTGTGATCAAGTAGTGTTACACCTGGGATCAGGTTATGTGACAAGACATTGGACAAGACACTGGGTAAAAATTGTTTGACACACCTGTGATTCTATTGTGTGTGAAAGAATGTTCCATACTGTTTTCTCATAAACTTGTTGTATATTCCAGGCACAGGTACGTTCGGACGTGTTATCCAGGTACGACAGAAGGGAACGAAGCAATACTTGGCTCTCAAGGTGATGGCCATGGCGGAGATCATTCGCCTCAAACAGGCCGATCACATCAAGAGTGAGAAGGAGATATTGTCACAGAGCCACCATCCATTTATTGTGAATATGTGAGTACAGTTTCTCTCTGGGGTAGCCTGGTGGTTGCAGCAATATCTCATCATCCCAAAGGTCCAGGTTTGACTCCCACACTGGTGTCTCCAATGTGACTTGTAGGGGCGGTCGGGTAGCCTAGTGGTTAAAGCGTTCGCTCATCACGCCGAAGACCCGGGTTCGATCCCCGACATGGGTACAATGTGTGAGGCCCATTTCTGGTGTCCCCCGCCGTGATATTGCTGGAATATTGCTAAAAGCGGCGTAAAACCATACTCACTCACTCACTCACTCACTCACTATTGCTGGAATATTGATACAGGGGCATAAAACAATACTCACTCTTTTAGCATGATATTGAGTTTTGTAACATTGTAATTATTTGGGGTATAGTTAGAGACTTGAATCATGATATGATATGAATCACAATATTACTTAAATTGTGCTGATTTTGTGTGAAATTCTCTGTGTTGGAACAAGTTACTATTGTCAGCCACTATCAAGCATTTTGTGTTTGTGGGGGGTGCCACCGGTGGGGCAGGATACACTCCACTTTTCACAAACACCTGGTGTCATTACCATGTGAAAGTGATTCATGAACACATGCTCATTTGCTTTATGCAAAGATTTCTGTTGGATATGGAAAAGGTTTTGTCGCTTTGTTAACTTGCATGATTGGTTAATTTAGGCTTGTATTATGCAATCAGATTGTGCATTTATTTTCATCATAATGGTAACCCAAGTAGTTATCAGGCCATGTTATTAGAACATATTTCTTTTGAAAATCATACATAAATATGGCATGAATAGATACAGGGCTAAATTTGCATTGCATTGATACATTGTTGAATCATGACACCCCTTGTAATTATGATTATGTGCCGGTAATATGGGGCCTATACTCCCTAGCTGCTGTGTGATATTGATATATGTTGACTGAGGATTAACATTGACATTGATATACACACATACCTCCCAACAAGCACTCAACATTATTCATATGAACGTTATTTTCACTGAGACTAAAGCATGCATAATTCATGATACAAGGATCCCAAAAATGTTATTGATTTTAAAAATATATTTAAATCAGCATTGTGTTTATTGATTTATTGAAGTGTACAAAGTTGTATTTGAAAAGTGTCTACAATCAGTGAATCACTACTCAGAGATGCACATTGAATACAATTTATATCGTTGTATCCAGCTAATATGTATATGATAAATAGAACATAACACAATGATATATAACAGGCCACCACAGTCAGTAGCAATTGATTGATTGGAAAGTTTTTTTATAGCACACATGTAGGAGGGAATAACACTTCATATTAGGTCTTGTTTTGCTCGTATCAGTTTGATTGATGTGTATATGTTGTCGGACTATGCGATGACTATATTTGGTTATCTCTATACAGGGTTGTTCCTAAAATGAGAACCTAGAAAATCCAGGGAAGAATAGGTCTTCAGCAATCGATGCTAGCCGTGAACATGGTAAAAGGCAACTATGCTTGTCATAAGCGGCAACTACCTGTGATCAAGTTGTATGACACACCTGTAATCAAGTAGTGTGACACACCTGTGATCAAGTAGTAGCATGACACCTGTTGTCAAGTAGTGTGACACCACCTGTGATCAGGCATCAGGTGGTCAGACTCGCTGACTTGGTTGATGCATGGCATCGATCCCAATTGCGTGGATCGATGCTCATGATATTAATCACTGGATTGTCTTGTCCAGACTTGATTATTTACAGACCGCCATCATATAGCTGGAATATTGCTGAGTGCGGCGTTAAACAACAAACCAACCAACCAAATGAATTTAGGACCAAAACCTATTTAAAGGGCTGTTATAATCGGGTGATGATGAAAAGAGTTCACTGAATCTTAATGCACTGTTACAGCTGAAGATGTATATACAGTATAGAGACAAGCAGAGAAAGAATTATGTCCCTTATAGTCATGCCAGTATCTGCTGATCATGGGTTTGAAACCCAAATTATGTACATATCTGTATATACACTCAAATGTGTTTATTATTTTAGTTTGTATGTCTGTTAAGTCATACATATATGACATGGCTTGTGTATTCGACATTTCATGATATGTGTTTTCTTTTTATTTATGGGGTGGATTTCCTCATTGATTAAAGTGTTCACCCATCAAACTGAAGGCCCGGGTTCGATTCCATACATGGGTACAATGTGTGAAGCGTATTTGTGGTGTATCTCTTATTTAGATTGATTCGGCAATAAACCCTCTCTCGCCCACCTGCCCTTTGCATGTTTTGCGCAGTGTGACCTTGCACTTTCTGGTTGTGGGTGTGTCACCACACACTCAATCACTTTCCTTGACTTGTTTTGAGCAGAGTGACCTTGTATTTGCAGGTTGTGGGCGTGTCACGACGAGAAATTCCTGTACATGTTGATGGAGTATGTTCCAGGAGGAGAACTATTTTCTTATCTACGCACACATGGGTTTTTCAAAAACTCGGATGCAAACTTTTATGCGTGTGAAATTGTATCTGCATTGGACTACCTTCATTCCCAGCAAATTGTGTACAGAGACTTAAAACCGGAAAACCTGTTGTTAGACACAGAGGGACACATGAAAATAACAGACTTTGGTTTTGCTAAGAAGGTGATAGACAGGTAGGTACACAGGTAGTTGCCCTGACAATCTGATCCCCCCTACAGGTATGTAATTCTTGACCTGACAATCTGGTCCCCCCTACAGGTATGTCATCCTTGACCTGACAATCTGGTCCCCCCTACAGGTATGTCATCCTTGACCTGACAATCTGGTCCCCCCTACAGGTATGTCATCCTTGACCTGACAATCTGGTCCCCCCTACAGGTATGTCATCCTTGACCTGACAATCTGGTCCCCCCTACAGGTATGTCATCCTTGACCTGACAATCTGGTCCCCCCTACAGGTATGTCATCCTTGACCTGACAATCTGGTCCCCCCTACAGGTATGTCATCCTTGACCTGACAATCTGGTCCCCCCTACAGGTATGTCATTCTTGACCTGACAATGTGCCCCCCTAAAGACATCATTCTTGCCAATGTGGACATCTGACCTGACACCAAATATTGTAAAAACGGTTAACCGAGTCATTAAAACTCCTAATTTCATGGTACATAGTTACAGGTAAGGTACTTGCTATGATTAAGATGGAAGAAGATATGACAGGCGTAGATGGCAAGATGGCTTCGTAGAACAAGGACCCGTGAAGATCCAGATAGAGAACAGGTCTTCAGCAACCTAACGCTGTAAAAGGCGACTATGTACGTGGTAAGAGGGGACTAATGGGATTGGACGGTCAGGCTCGCTTACATGGTTGATACATGTCATCGTATCCCAATTGTGTGGATTGATGCTCATAATGTCAATCACTGGATTGTCTGGTCCAGACTCGATTGTTTACGAACTGGCACCATATAGATGGAATATTGCTGAGTGTGGCGTAAAACAACAAACAATCCAATTATAGAGCAGTTCCCTGATGTACATCTTCCCTGTTTCAGGACATGGACACTGTGTGGCACTCCGGAGTATTTGGCGCCGGAGATTATCCAGAGTAAGGGCCACAACAAGGCCGTGGACTGGTGGTCGCTAGGGGTACTCATATATGAAATGTTGGTCGGGTGAGTATGTCACAATGATATAGACCACAGAGCTACAGATAAGCTGCGTATTTGCGTGAAATATTCAAAACCAAAAAACCCAATTACTTTCAATTAACTTATGTACAGAAACACATGCATTAAATGGAAAACTCAATTGTTTGATAACAGCACTCGTCAATACACAATGAAGCTTTTTCAGCATGCATACAATGGAGCTAATTTCCGAAACACACTTACAAGCTAATTTACTTTCCGAGTGAAGCCTGTATTTAGAACCATTATATTACATCTGAAACATTATTTCATCTCTATGAGAATCTTTTATGAAACTATATCTCATTCAGATTCCCTCCATTCTATGATGAAAATCCATTTGGAATCTACCAGAAAATCCTTGCAGGGAAGATAGAGTGGTCCAAAGCACTGGATCCTGTTGCCAAGTGAGCTTTTAAGCAGCGTTTTTATTTTATATTTGATACATAAGCTTCATATTTTAAGGGTAAGTTTTACACATAGAGTAAACTACGGTTATAACAAAACTCAAAGTGGCCACTAATGTTTGTTCGTTATAACTGTAGTTCGTTAACAGCACATATACAGCAAAGGGATGGGACATAAGAACAGTTCAGTATATCTGTCAGTTCGTTATAGATGTAGATTACTGTATCTATAGAAGAATAGTAACAAGCTGTGTGAAAATTTCATCATTAAGCGTACTTTAGAATGTGGATGAAGATTGTTATCAAGAGAACTGTGCTTCCAGCTTTAATATTCTTTAAAGTATGGCTACTGTCCTATTTTGTGATGTCATTCTCCAGACTGTGTGACATAATGTTTCTTCATTGCTTCTTCTAATTAACCAATATTCCTGTTTCAGAGATCTCATTAAGAAGCTTCTTGTTCATGATAGGACAAGGAGGCTGGGGAATATGAAGGTAAGTGCACCAAGAGTTGCTTCCCCTGGCTAGATTTGTATTCACTCACTGGGCAATATAAGTTGATTATCATACATATTACTCCAAGGCAAGAACTAGGTTGAGTGGTGAGTGGTGGGACACTGGTGCTGTAGAGAACCTGCTAGTATAGGCAAGGCTTACATAGTAGGGCTGGGACGGGTAACTCGGGTCGGGTGGGTACAGAGTAGGACCTGGGTACCCACAGGACTACCCGGACCCGTGATTAGTCACGTGATATAGTGTTGTATGATAAAAGCTATCTAGAACTCTATGGTTACACTATAAGTGACTAATGTTTGCATTCCTTCTGACTTTATATAGCTTCAATCAACTTCGGTGTATGCATGACCAACTCGGTTTATGCGTGTATCTAAATACGTTTTGCCAGGGCTCTGGTCAAACAATTCCCTATCAGACATTTCATGCCCATCTCTTGAGACCTACAGCGGGTACCCGGGTAGGGTCGGGTAATAGGGCGTTGGGTACCTGGGTAATAAATTTGGACTCGTCCCAGCCCTATTACATAGATATGATAATTTAACAAGAAGCAGTGCATGTTTCGTATATAGAGATTATGTTGTTTCCAGAAACAAACTGTTGAAAAACAGAAATACTTAATGTATTTTATTACAGTAAAGCTTCCCAATAATGTAATCAATGTCTTTTTGTAAATTGGGATACGAGACGTTTGTGTGAAGATGTTGGGTACAATCATTTCCTGAACAGTCAACTTTGTTTGTAAGTTTATTGTGAGCAATATTCCAGCTTTATAGAGAATCTCACCCGAGTGTATTTTGATATCAAATATATCAACCCGAGTTGATAAAAGTGGGAAAAGTCTGAGGCTTGCCGAGGATTTTTTTCCACTTTTATCAACGAGTGTTGATATATTTGATATCAAAAGACACGACGGTGAGATTTTATTTATCATCCAACATCGTTCTTCCAACTTTGTCAGTTTGTAGAAAGAAATAAGCAGTGTCTTAAGTGTAAAAAGTATTGCTAAACAGCTTCAGTAGCAGAGCCATGAGTGATGTCATTTGATTGTGATGTCATGGTAACCAATGATGTCACAATGGTCTGCAAAGCATTGTGATGCAATTTCATTGCAGCGATATCTGCAGTATAGATATCGCTTGATCTCACCCAAGCGATATCTCCTGTGGGAGCCAGTTTTGGATGATAAAGGATGGTGGCTTGTAAATAATCTGGATTGATATTATGACCAATGATCCATGCAGTCAGCGTACAATAAGTCTCAATCAACCAAGCCTAACCATGTGATCCACTCATTTACCTCCAGCTATCCCACTCAATATTTGATAGGCAAATCAAATATGTCCGCTATGTTTAAAGATACACTTGACATATTTAAGAATATTTTTTGTGAATCTTGGAAAGATAAAAATATCCCAATCAAATGTGGTGTAGTATACAAGCATAGGTTGCTGGGGACAAATTCTAACCTGGAATCCCACGGGGTGCACAGTGAACTAAGAAAACTAGAACTGTGACAGCAACAAGAATGTACTGGTTGGGTGTTCATGATGAATTGTCTCTTCCAGTTTGGAGCAGAGGATGTGAAGAGACACCGGTGGTTCAAGGGCATCAACTGGGACGACGTCTTCAACCGAAAACTCAAGGTGAGATACGAGGGAAGTCACTAAACGTGAATTGACTAATTCATATGTAAAACTACCCACCCACAAATTGAAAACAGTGTTATGGGGGTAGTTTACACTGACCATTCCATGTTCTGGGGGTGGGGGCTGACAATTATTAAAAAACATAATTTGACCCAGAAAAAAAAGATGAAAAATAGTTGTCCTCAGGCTTTAACACCCCCCCAACCCCCCCCCCCCCCCCCCCCCCCCCAAATAAATTGTCCAGAGAAAAAAAAAATGTTGATGTAATTGTATGACTACATGCCAAATTTTATTGGCATGTTTTGATGAAGGGAACAAATAAATATCCTGTCTCAAGCATAAGTCCTGTCCCCAGCATTAGTTTTTCAATATTTTGCATGAGCAAGTATTTGACCGAAGTTGTTATTCTCTGATGTAGATAGGGTCAGTACAAGCATACATTGGGTGGTGGACAATTCACATTGTGTCCTCCACTTCCGCATAGTCAGATTTTCTCTTGCAATTAGAAAATCAGGCTGTTTGTTAGCATTCTTATGTACTTGACAATGGCAGTGTAAGACTTGCAAGTGTAAGAAAGCAAAAAGGCTAGTAGTGAACAATTTGAACATGTCTGATTATTTTGATACCGTTATTATGGTACAAAGGTTCCTTAACTATAAAGTATAACATGTAAATATAAAACAACAACGTCAGAGAATAATCAGACTCCAACTGGTGTAAAAGACAAAGTAGTGGTGAATATTATATGAATGGATCACTGAAAATCAGTGATGACACCAGGTCGTTTCGATGTAGGTTCAAACACCGTTATCAAGTAAGTGAAACGTCACTCCTAATTGTTATAAAGAAGTTGTCCATCCATATATCTTATCCTTACTTAGTACTCCAACTTCTAAATGCCTCTCAAAGAAGTTATGACACCAGGTGTTCAAGAAAAGGGGTAAACATGTCCTGCTCTACCGTTAGCACCCGCCACTCACACACTCCTCCTAACTCCTTGCATCTCCTTGTTTCAGCCCCCAATTGTTCCAAAGCTTGCCTACTCAGGGGATACAACAAATTTTGATGACTATTCCGATGACAACTGGCAGGATGCTGCAGCAGTTGATCAAGAAACGAAGGACATCTTCGCCGACTTTTAGTCCTTCATCAGTGGCATGGCCTTGTCATCTTGCTCAAGTGTCGAGCGTTGTCACCTGGTATGCTGGTGTGAACATTGTCTGTCATTTGCCAAGGTCTCCATCAATGTTGGGCATTTTATTTCATTAGGTGATGAAATGAAGGTATAACTTTTCATATCTTCCAGTACAGTCTTTCACAATGTTTGGCATGAACCAGAACTACAGCAAAGACTTTCCTTATTGTTCACAGAGCCATGCCATCCTGCCTCTCTCTGCAGAACAATGTATTTGTGAGGAACATTCTGCCCGTCCCGGACCAGGGAATGTCATGTGACCAATATTTTACGAAACCACCATCAATAAACTGTCAAAGATTTCTCTGTGATAGACAGCAAATTTTGGAAGTCAAGTGATAAGTACACATGCCGGAGTCTTTGAGTTTCTGAGCCTCTGTTTAGATGCTGGGCGGCAACAAGACACGTCATTTTAATGGTTGGCTTGTTGCCATGGTAACATGTCTTATATTATTGGGAGTGTGATCAGTAAAACTGTTTGATCATTTTGATGGTTTTATTATCAAGAAATTGCTTTTAAGATCAACCTGCTACAAGTACAGTGACACATATCCGGAGTAAGTCCTGCCATTCCATGACTGTTGGAGAGGGTGACAAGTACTATTGTTATTGTGGGCTGCTGGGCAGGCACAGCCTAACTGACAGAGAGGAGTTCTCCTTTAAGGCATGAATGCTGTTAGCATGCCCATCTAACAAGTAAAGCAGACCACCACACCCCCCCAGACAACTGTCAGTGATGTGGGTCGGGGATGATATCACAAACTAGATGTACAGATATTTTCTTTCATGTTAAGAATATATATATGGGTTGTTTTCTTTGTTTTGTTGATTTCAACTAACTCTTCTGCATTGACAAATTTGTTCAAGATTTGAGATTTAAAGTTTCTCCTACTTTCATCAAGTATTCTTATGGGGCCAGCTATTACAGCAGAGATTTATTTTGGTATTATCAGAGGCCAATATTCGGACCCCAATCTGCAGCAACTGTTGTTCAAAATTGGAAAAAACATGATCCCAATGAAGGGTATATTATGTTATAGCTTTGTTTATTACCCATCAGTGAAGATATCACACACTAATAACAATACCCGTTTATTAAACTATGTTTAATAACATCACTCGCCGATGGGACTATTTCGGGCATCGGCTAGCACTGTGCAAAGTCTACTATGGTTGATTATGTCAAGCCTGTGAGATATGCAGTTGTCTATTGCAGGACTTGTGAACAAATATGTTTGAAGTGGAGATAGTATATGGACTATCACTTTGCATTGTAGTGCAAGAATCATGACATTATTAAGGGTCAGATCATCACTAATATACAAAATTTATGTCGAAAGATCGTCACATTGCAGTGAATGCACTCTTTACCGGTAATACATCTGATATTAAGAATATAAGAACTGGACAAAAAAGGGTTTCACAGTTTTTTTGATACTGGAGGCCATTTCTGGATATGAAAGACTGATATTTTTTTTGTAAATGTTATATCAAATATCATTCAACATTTTACTTAAAAACATACTCAGATACGTCAGTTTGGCCGTTCTCAAATCAAGACAGTTTGTCAGAACAGCATTTCTAGGACACTGTTTTACTCACTGTCATTTACAAAATGTATATTTTTGTGTTGTGTAGGTCATGGGAGAACTTTTGTTCCTCTAGATTGACGAGTGAATGAGTGAAATGATCAAGGTTTGATAAGGTTGTGGTGTGTGTTCATACTCGTCTTCCAAAGGTTGTGCTATTTATGTGGTAAATATTAATCAAGTTATTTTAAAAGCTTGATATCTTATTATGTTTGGTAGAGTCAGAAAAGTATTTCTTTCTTTTTGTGTCTACTGAAGAATATTATGTTTTAAATAAATTGCAAGTGATTCCGTGTCATTTGATTGGCGAACAAAGCAATTTTTTTTATATCTTTATATTACCATAAATCCCACGAAATTAAGACCACACCCACCAATGGACTACTGTTTCCTGATAGTCTTATTCTAGAATGGGTGCTGATGTATGTCACTGATTTCATATTGTGTACATTTGTTTGTGTTAATGATCAAATAAGCAGCCTGAAGTTGTTGATGTGTTTTTTTTATGAGAAATGACTTTGATATGTTGTTGCGCTTATGGAGTTATAAACATAAAAACTAGTGTGCTAAATTAATTTATGCAAAGTGTGCAATCTGTTCTTTACATTTGTACCTCCATAAACACAAAAAAATATTGAAGTCAGTTCTAAAAAAAATTAAACTTAAAATTTCTTTTTAGAACTGACTTCAATATTTTTATATTGAAGTCAGTTCTAAAAAAACTTTTAAGTTTAAGTTTTTAGGATTTGTATACAAATGTGCAAGGGATTACCGATGTGGCATTTGTACATTGATATTTCTTACTTCACACTGTTAATGAAAGTTAAAAACCCTGGAGACTGGTTTCCAGAAAGCATTGGTGCATATTGATCCCTACCCTACAAGATGGTATTATGAGGTCCTGCAACAGTACGATACATGTATGTTGGAGGAAGCTTTGATTTGCTGACATTATGTACCGAATTTCCGCAATCAAATCATGTATGAAAATTGGCAACATTTCTGGTTGAGTAAGGTATCTGCTACCATAGCCCCGTGGGAATCCCAGGTTAGGACTGGTCCCCAGCAATCTATGCTTGTCCTACGAGGCGACTTAGTGGATCGGTCAGGCTGACTGATGTTTTTGCTTGCTTGTCAACGTATCCTGACAGTGGGGATCATTACTCTAGTATCTGTCACCATGGTCACTGGCTGCCTTGACATGAAAGAATAAGCTTGTCAGCTAACTCCATTATTGAGGTATACTGTCATATATATAGAATAATGCTGGGTGCAGTGTTAAACTTACAAATAAAATATTGTGATGTTAGTATGAAGATACAACATCACAGCTGTTTCATTTCAGCGCAAAAATCGCAAAATGAACTGATTGGTTGGCCAATCAAGTACTCTGAGCTAAAACATTAGTTCTCAGTTTATAGTCCAGTGTTTGACAAGGTGGGCTGGGGCGGGGTGCACACTGAAAATCATAATGAAAAAAACACACAAAAAACATGACAGAGAGACTGACATAGGTAGAAACAAAAGGTGGGGAGGCAGTGCACACTCTGCACCTACCTGAGACTCCACCTGAGACTCCACCTGAGACTCCACCTGTCAATACTGTACTAAACTGCAGGGATTAGGCAGAGGATGTTCTCAGCATCATGCTTGATGCAGGTCACCAACAGTCTTTTCCTTGATCCAGGCTGCAGTGAGATGCTGAAAGAAACCCAGTTGCTGATTGGACAGCACATGTGTCTTACTCATAGTCCACACTGTCCAATGAAGATATTAATGTATATTTACCAGGGTATATCAATTTATTTCCCTTTGTTCGTCAACTGGATATCCAGTTACAAAATAGGTCAGAGACATTTTATTATCCTGAGAGACAAGTGTGACATGACATTAGACACAATTATCGTGTCAATTAGGAAGATTTCTTAGTTCAGTTAACATGAGTGTTATACCTAATCTCTCTGATTTATTGTTAATAAATTAGGTCTGAAAATATTCATGTTTTGATTCCTAGCTTTTCCTGGTCATTATTGATGATATGGAAAAAGCACAAAATTGTTGTCAGGGTATGTTTGAGGTCAATATTAATGAAATCCATATAAAACCAAAACCAAAACAATAAAATTTTCAAAATAAATGCATCATTTTCTATTTTTCACTTTTGTAAAATAATTGGGTCATCTGTAAGCTAAAGAAAATGGTCTTGGGTTAATTATAGAAAAATTAACAAACCTTTGTTTTTTAACAAATGAACATAATTATGTTGTGTTAGTTTCTGCTATGTTATGTTAGGATCCCCAATGATGGTGTAGACTTTTGAATTTGTGTTACGTAGGTTAATTAGAAACTGTCATTGCTTTCATTTTACTGACAGTGATTTTGTATAGTCATTGTTCATTTCAACACGTTTTACATGAAGTAATCAAAATCCCATCACAGGCACATTTACAGTGCCTTCCTTACCTCAATCAACCCAGAGCAGGGCTGACTATTCCATGTGGCACTGAGTTATCTCCCCTTGAATACAGTTTCGGGTGAGGTGAGGTGTAATTGGGTTTAACGTCACGTCCATGATTATTGCACTTATATAGCGAAGTGCATGCACGTGTGTGTTAGGCTGCTTGTACTAGTCCAGACTGATACCGATTTATAGTGCTAGCTCACTGAGATACCATACCGCAGTTTAACATGAATACCCCACTCAGACACAGTATACTGACTCTGAGCCGACCAGTCCTTGTTTTAGCCCCTTAATGCCGATCGCAGACAGGGTAACAACAAGTACCATCTTTTAAGATCGTTTGGTATGACGCGGCCGGGGATCGAACCCCGGACCTTCCGCACTCTGGGCGGAGGCTTTACCTCTAGACCACGGAGGCGGTCTGAATACAATTTTAAAATAATGTAATGCTGCTATGAAATTAAAATGTTATTTCCACTTCCTTGCAATAAAGAACTTTTTGAGAGTTTAGACATCCAGATTATATGTTGTAGATGAAATGGTTCGTATGGCCGTCATAATGGGGCCAGTTTTGTGATTACCGGTATTTCAAGGGGAAATAATTCAGTTGCACATTTTTTGCACAAATGTTTCAATTGGTCATAACCCACCATATATTTACACATATCCATTGTACAGTTTTGATGAATCTCACACATGGTGCATGGTAAAACTCCTGTTGTGTTGGTATCTTTCCGTGGGTTGTATGTCATAACTCACTTGAATTTATGCCTGGTTCAGTACATCAGTCTCATTAAGTCTGATCCCTTACTCCGGTAAGATACCTCCCTGCATCGAGTTCGGAGGAGACCTTCACAGAAGGTCCCATTATGTGAACTGTGAGGGGGTATTGACCGCCCAATCTTAACTGAAGGTTGTGTGTGTTCTTGAGTCAATCAAATGTCAGCTTTCTAAAAAAACTGTGGCTTCATTTCTTGCCACCTGAATTGAGACATTTTGATCTTGGCAAAAGAAAGTTTTTTACAAGACACAAATATACTTTCGCTAGTACACCCCTGAGCAAACAGAAGCCATGGCGCTCAGAAACAACGATAGGATAGCACAGCTTTATTTTTGTGCATTCGGAATTCTCCGTTTATTATTGTTTTTGAGGTACAGAAAAAAGAACTGTTTCTCTGAATGTTTTGCTTGCTCATACCTAGAACTGAGTATCCTGAACACTGATCAGAAAGTTGTGCCGTGAGGTGTCCCCAGATCTTCCTGCAGTGAGGAATCGTGTCAGAGTAACAACCTCATTTTAATGAGATTGCGTACATCTTCTAGTATTGTACATATAGCTTGCAAGTTTGTACAATGCGTGAGTATTGTCGCCAGTACTGTCCCATTGCTTAATGTCCAAGGGCTGATCCAGCATTTGTAAAAGGGAGGGGTCCAAAATATCAAAATCCTCTCTCAGATAATTTTACTGCCTACAACATACTATAATTGGTTTTCAAAGGGGGGGGAGGGCTTTAAACCCCCTGGACCCCCCTCTGGATCCACCCATGATGTCAAGCACTCACGTGACCTCTGTTGTGTTTTAGTTTGAACATTTACTGCACTTTACTGCGTTAGTCAAAAACCACATGAACACAACATGTTTCATTGTTATATTGTTAGTTGTGATGGTATTTTCCAAATATTTCCTATTCCATATGGGGCGGTGGGGTAGCCTAGTGGTTAAAGCATTCACTTTTTATGCCGACTTTGGCCTGGGTTCGATTCCCCATATGGGTACTATGTGAAAAATCCATTTCGTTGTCCCAATCGTAATATTACTGAAATAGTAGTAAAAGCGATGTAAAACCAGACTTCCCCGGTATGCCTTATAACAGTATTCATTAATGTAATGTAAAAGTCATGCTGAAGAAATTAACCAAATTATATGTATAAACTACAAATAGTAAATAATCATGAATGGTTTCCTAACATGATGGATGAAGGTACAACAAAGTATCCATTTGAGATCCAATAATGTATTGAACTATTTTTAGAAGTTGTTTAATTTCTGTAAATATACATATTGACGATGTGTGATATACATTATGAAATGCTGTATGTAACTTTGATACAACAACATGTTCATATTTAAGTTTGATTACTTTCTGAAGTAGTTTTCTATATGAGAGTCTAGCAAGGAATAGCATTATGTGGTTTTATCTATGTTCAAGTTGCTATTTATCCTTTTGTACAAAATGAACAATGTACCGATATGAATAACAAAAACAAACCTTTATGTTTACGTGTTTAGCCTGAATTAACAAATATTGCTGTTATAGTAGGTTTGAAAATGATTTATTTTAACGTTGTATATTTTCTGAAATATATAATTGGAATAGCAGATATATTGGACATTGAAAGTACTGGGTATATCTTTTACTTAAAAATACTACTGGTATGTGTCATATATATTTACAGTAACACAATGGCCAAAAGATGTTAAGATTCTCTTGTGTCAAGACTGTCTTTACATATTCCAGATACAGGTTATACATTGCTGTAAGATATTGTATTCAAACATGTGCTTTTAACACACATTCAGTGATTCTTATGGTGGATTAGATTCAGCATTCTCTTCTCAACAATGTATGTCTTTGTGTTATGACCAACAATGACATGATGTCATCAATTGTTGACTGCATCACAATCTATGAGCATTATGTCATTAGAACAATAGGTTTATTTCAGAAAAGTATCCATGATGGGGAGATATTTGAAACGTTGTTCTTAATTTTTATACAAATATTTATTAAATATGACAAGGGATGTGTAATTTTGTTTTTCAAGTTGTCAATATTTTTCATTTACTGAAGCCCTGTATTAAATGTTAGACTGGAACCCAGGGATGAAGCATCTGTAATTGATCCGCCATAAGCTACATACCGGTACTCATTTCCCCACTATATCTTGTTGACTCTAAGGCCAGGCGTTTTATATTTTTCGGATTATGGACCCGCCGACTCTAATTTTTGAGAAAATTTAAAAAAATAAATCAGATTTCCATAATTCCCCCCCCCCCGATAGCCACATAGTCAGTTATTTTATTTGTTATCATCACCTTTTAGTACAAAACCATATGAATTTACCGTTGTAAACTAGTAAAGAGATACATAATCGATCTTTGTTGATCTCGAAGCCAAACATGAATAGCCTCCCTTGACAATTGTCCGTGTTGTAAGTGGTATAATTTTTATTGTTACAAGGGGCTTTATCGCCACAAATGGCGGTCTTTTGAGCTCAGAATATGTTCATAAAGTATGCCAGAGGCATTCTGCATTTAAAAAAAAGGCATCTGGCTTCTTTCTTCTTCTTTTTTCCATCCACCAACCCTTGACTTTGGGCTGAAAAATCTGTAATCCTAAAAATAAAAAATGCCTGGCCTAAGCCATCATAATGGAGGGAAAAACAATTATGAGATAGAGATGCTACACTGCCAAATTATCTTGTGTCAACATTCACTCTGAAATATGTAAAATTCAGTTTCATCTCAAGACAAAATTCACAGTTTAGCTACATGTTCAAATAGGATGAAATTATTCAAAAGACGAATAATAAAAGAAGTTATTGTATTTATTGTTGATCATGTTGAAAGTATATGAAAATTGCGTGTATCATCAAGGTTGTACTATGTCCATGTTCCACCTGTTGTTTTGCAAACCATTTTGTAATGTTATAATGGTCTGTACTTGATATTGAAGTGCAGTAACTATCCATGTATAAGTGCCTTTAGAAATCCATCCATGCGTTGCCAAAGACATCCATTCACCCATCACTTCATACAGATCACAAGCACTCTCCTATTTCAAATGGAATTATTATTTGTATGACTGTTTTAACGCAAAATAAAACCTTTTGAAATATTCTCTGTTTTGCTTGTAATTTGGGTATGGTTTTCATGGATGGTGATGCCAGTTGGGCTTCTTGGTGGAGCACTATTATTCCAAATCAGAGTGGGTGAGTGAGTGAGTTGAGATTAACAGTGCTTTGAACAGTATTCCTGTAATATTATTTTTTTCTCTTTTTTAAAAAGAAGAAGAAGTACCTGTTACATAAAATGGGCTTCCGCCCAGGGTAGCAGAAAGCCCATGACATACATCACAACTTATCAGTACATCTTAGGTTGTTTTTTTAATGAAAGTAACATACTTCTCAATCACACATTCACCCTATTTATACAAACATACTGCCTATATCAAGTATGCATAAACTATTAAATTGTATATATCATATTGCAGTGCAGGAAAGTACATGGTCTCAAACATTAAAGTCTTAAGTACAAAACTAAAAATTAAAAGAAAAGCTGCTCCTCAAAAAGTTGATGATACAGCATCTAAGCACCATAGAATTTCTGTTGATTACCTGTCTTGAAAGCAATGTCTTTTTCAATGTTGTATCGTGAAAAAGCTTCCTTTGTATAAACATGAAAATAAGGTTTTGACATCCTGTGTTGTACTGAATATATTATTACAAATATTGTTCCAATTTAAGTTTTCAAATTGTAATTCCCACATTTCCTGCCCTTTAGTTTTTACTTCTGTAGAAACCTATGAAAAATAAATGCTTTGAACTACAAAAAGTTTTTACCACACAGCGCTGGTCCCCCACAGAATATGTAGGAACTGTAACTAAACTAGTTCTGAGTTAGTGTTAATGCTGCTGACAACACAATAAAATTCTAAACATGATGAACAAATACCATACATTTCATTAAATTCCTCATAGGACAGAAACTCCTTATTGGCCTTGACCAAGTCTATAATTTGGGAGTCACCCTACTCAATCCAGTATTTCAAGAAAAATGATTTCCTATTAATTTTGATATTAGGGTTATGAAAAATTGGTTCTGTTAAAAAACTAATGAAAGATTCTGGCTTGATTTTCTCATCAAGCACTATAAATGACTGAAAACAACTTTTCCAAAACTCATTACTTATCAAAGATAATTCCTCTCAAAGAACATCACACCAAATTCACCAAGTTTACACAAATAAGGATATGGTATATAGATTTAAATAGGTCCTTCCATTTTGGATCACCTGAGGACACAAGTCTCCTTATCCATGTGGCCTTAAGGGATGTTATGTATGAAAAAATATTTACCATACCTAAGCTCTCTTGCTTAACAGGTT